AATCACCTTACTAATGCTGTTGTTGGGAACGTAAATAAATGAAGGAGTACAAAGAACAGTGTCAGTATTATGGAATATCCAAGTACCAAGTTCTGTGAGCTAGAAGTGAAGTTTGGTAAGATGGAGGTAAACAGAAACCGGCTTAGACACAGAGCCCTTCTGCAGTCTGCCTTTGGCAACAGAAGCAGGAAGAGTATCTCAAACTCTCCAAAGCAGTGTCAGAGTGGAAGGTTGGAAATGCCATCTTCCCAGACTACCTGGGGAACTGAAGCCTTACGTAGATTGAAGAACTGAAGAATAATTTGTTCTGTTGGAATATAGTTTTTGCACTGTTTTCAGTATTGCTGGTCATTGCTTCCTGATAAGATTAATTGGTTGGTCTTGTTAAGCCTGATCTGGGAGCTAAACATTCTGAAGCAGCATAAACTGATGTAAATCTGCTGTGCAATGAGCCTTTCCCTTGATCAACAGTGCTTTAGCATCCACTCGAAAAGTAGCAAGCACATCAGCTGGACAGACTGCTGAGACATTTAGTGTAGATCGTGCTTTTGTCAAGAAACATTAGGCCAAATGATCCTTGAGGTTCCTTCCCACCTGGCATTCTAGGACTCTACTGAGGAGCCCTATTAGAGTTTTCTTACAATTTAAGTCCCTGGATGATGCCCACCCAGTTGTGGAAGGGGTGGTATTTGTGGTGATGAAACAGAACAGAAGCAAGAACCTGTATTTAGGATGGGTTTGCTTAGGGCTACACTCTGTGTTAGCTGAGAAATGAAGAACTCTTCCTCTGTTTGGGAATGGTGACTGAAATAAGAAGAGTGACCAAACTCAGGGTGCCCTTTTGATCATAGGATTAAAAGTGTGTAGGGTTTTGATGTGAGATGAAGTCAGCCTCCTTTGGTAGGTGGTAAAGTTTCACTTTAGCTAGCAAGGTATAAAATGGCCCTTGACCTAGGAAGACGACCCTTCTTCAGGACACTGCTTATGTTACATATTCAATTCAGATGAAAAAAGAACTACATTTTTTCATCTAAAGTTTTAATTTGTCTGAGGTGGTACCCAGTGTAAGGTTGATATACCTATAAAACCAAGAAGGAAGACAACTGCAGAGAAGGGAAATGAAATAAAAACATGGAAATTATTTAGGAAGTCTTATATGCTGCTGTTCCAGTATTAATTAAATTTAAAAACCAGCACATATACAGAAAATCAGTGTATTATGGCGGTTTTCCTCAACAATGAGAAACAAGACAACAAGTAACTATCACTGGGTGAGAGAGGTGCAGCATGTTGTTCTTACTGGTTTCTCTGAAGGGTCTCAAAGGCCCAAATTTGTTCCACCCTCATTTTGGCACCCTCCCCTGCTGCTGTGCCTGGTGAGCTGAAGACCTGCTTCCCATAGGTTTGATTGGACCATGATAATTTTATGTTTTCCCTGGTCTCCTCTTCTTAGATTGTTGTCTGCCAGGGAAGCTGAAGGCAGAGTGGCATGGCCAGATAGCGTGGCATGGCCTGTTCTCAGAGTGTACAATTACAGCCTCCTGTTTGTTTTAAAATACTAATCTAGCTTCAGATAGGAAGAACTTGTTTCTCTTTTTTTTTAATCTAGTGTGATGTCCTGTTAGTGCTGTAAGACCTTTGTGATTGCCAAAATAGGGCAGAAAAAATGGTCCTGGAAGCTTTCCACGCAGATAATCTGCCTTAAAGTTTAAACATGCTAAGTAAAGAGCCATGATTTTTGAACCAAAAGCCTTATCGCTATCATTGTGGGAGTAACTAGTGCATGAAAATGCTCTCATTTACAGGAATACATGTGATATGGATGCTGGATATGCTTAAATCTATTCTACTGGTACCTGTATGGCCTTTCTACAGTGCTGTGTCTGAGATCTGCTTTATGTGACTCACCCTGATTTGAATGCCAGCGGACTCCTCACTTACAAGGCGGCCTGCGCAAGGCTCATTGTGCTCCCTCCAGCTCCCTCTGCTTTTGCACAGCCTGTGAAGACTTGTTTTCCAACAGCAGTGGCATGCAGCTTATCCAGGCTCTGGGGTGTGCACCTGAAATGGGACACTTGGCTGTTTGCTGCTCGGTCACAGTGTACCTTCATTTTAAAAGCAGACCTCCCTCCCGTATTAGTGTTGGCTTTCAGAGCTAACATGCTGTCTCTAACAGCAAGTCTTATTTGTGCAAGGGGCAGTCTCCCAGGAAGGAATGAGGAAGGTATTCTGAAATAGCCTGATAGTACAAGTCACCTGCTAATACACAAAAATCTATAAGTATCTGATAACAGTGTCCTCTTTTACGGTAATGCCACTAGAGAAGGCTGAAGCATGCAGCACTTGCCATTATTTTTTTTGTTTTATTGCCCTGTGGGGGAAAAAGGAGGGTTTTGTATGAGTCTTTATGAGTTCTCAAAGTCAAGTAACTTGTGTTTAGCGATTGTGCTCACATAAGTATGATTTCCTTCTAACAACAGGCCAAAGATGTTCTGCAACAGCAGGAATTTTATGAATATTTCATGAGTAGCTTAAGTTAGATTCTGCAGGATTAAAAAGAGGAAACTGGGTCAAATGCGCATGGTGCAAGCATCTTAACTTCTTTAATGCTAAATTCATGTATGCTGTATTTTGAAAGCTGAAGAAGCAGGTTTTGTGGGTTTTGTGGTTTATATTTATTTTTCTTCTATTAATTTTTAATTTGACCATCTGATGGAAAAATTACTTCTGAAGTTTTGTGGGCGAAATCTCAGGAGACTGGTGGAGTTTCACAGCATGTGCAGCCACTTCAGGAGATGTTTTTCCAGGAAGCCCAGTGGCTTTGTGCATAAAGACTACACTGCTGCTTTCCTAGGTATATTGCTGGTTTTGAAGAATCAGGAAGTGAGGACAGTAAGTGCTGTATCCTCTAGAGCTGAAGCTGTGGTGAGTTCTCAATGAATGCAGCACTTGCAGTAAAGCTTTTGAGGTTCTGCCAGAGTAAACCAGCAAATACAAAAATGATGGGGCCCTGGAGGGGAATGTGTATATTCAGAAGGGCCAAGGGAGCTGCTGGGGGCAGTGCGTGCCCTCAGCACCTCTGACCCCCACACCATGTGCCACTTCCCAGGGACTCCCATGCTGGTGGCAGCAATGTACTACTCCATAACTCCATGTTTGGGCTGCGGTGGGCTTGTTAGGAAGCGTGCATGATTTGTGTTCCCCCATGACGTTGGAGTTGTTCGGAGAGCAGAGATGAAACCCTCACAGTGCTTATCACTGGTGGTGGTGGTAGGGTAAAGTGCACAAAGGTATTCTCCATGGAGTGTCACAGCACAGCTCCATCAAGGTTTCCTGAAGATGCCATATTGAGCAAACCTACTAATCGGCTATTCTGGCATGTGACTGGTGGACATACAGAGCGCTGGTGTTTGAATTGGATGGTGTTTTCAAATATTGTTACTAGCTGGTGTTGCCAGTGCTCAGATAAAGTAAATAATAACCTGAAGTGCAGACTAAAGGAAAGGAAGTTTTCTTACTCCACTGGTCCTCTGTAAAGATCAGTTGCACAGAAGAGATGGAAAAGTAGTGATGACATCATGCTGCTGTGGCAGTGGTCTTAAAACAGAGCTTATTAAATGCAAGACAAAGCATCCTAATGACCATGTTTTTTTCAAATCTCTTACACCTGTAGGTGTGTTAGTGGCTCCCTTGCTTAAGCTAAGTTGGGTTTTAATTGTCTTTGGCATTGCATACAGTAATAATAGGCTTCATTTTGATTCAAAAGATGATCAGTGATTTTAGGCCTCATTATTATTGACGAGATGAATATACAGAAAACATAAAAAAACTCTTGATATGTTGTAAGTCTCTTTGGAGCTGTATATATCCAATCTGACTGTTATCACTGTTTTCAGCCACACATTTTTACTCTGTCACTGCTGTCCTTAATGGTTAATATGTTTTGTCTTCATATTTTCAGTGATGTAGACATTTTTAGACTTGGTGTATAAAATACGTAAATGGATAAGCCATTTACAAGGTTCATAATGGTCTTTGTGGCTTTTTAAAATATGCATAAAAATAAAAAGTGTATGAATGTAATTACTGGCTTCACATTATTGTGGTAAAAGGCATTTCTAGGTTTAATATTGTTGGGGTTTTTTTGCTATGCAAATAATCACCTAAGTGAAGAGCCCTCAGTGCGACAGGAGCGTGGAGAGGGTAACCCATCTAAGGACTCCTGATTGCTGTCTCCATGTTAGCTTCCTGTCTTCCAATGCCTTTGGAAGCCATCATGTGTCCTGCAGTTTTTTCCTGTGGTGCGTTTTAGGTATTTTACAGAAACTCAGAGATATTGTGTCTGGACCTACATGATTGTTGCCCTCCCTTTGTGCTGGCTCAAATTAGCGGACATTGCATTACTTTAGAGGGCCCTGAACTAACCATTAGGATGTCTTCCTCTCCTTACTTCTCCTTCCTCTCAGATACCTCCAGTAAGTGATAACATGCAAATACAAAGCATCAAGCCAAACAAATGGATTTCTTTTTTGCTTCATTTAAGCTTTTATCCTATTAATTCTGTGGCAGATGTTTTCTTTTTAAACCTGCACTCTGTCACATAGTGTGTTTTATCTGGAGTGAATGCTAAAGCATCACTTTAAAAAAAAACCCTGTTAATGGCAAAGAGCAAAGTCCCAAGGACAAGTAGACAATGTTTCTGTTTGGTTTTTTTTTTTTTTAACTGCAATTGGATTGCTTTAGTGACAGCTTTTGTGGTTTACTGCCTTCCATCTCTGCTGTTTTACCATAACATTGTGGGTTTTTACAGCAATTAAGTCACTACTCATTCAACTACTCAGGAAGTAATTTCAAACAAGGTTTTGCTCAATAAAGTTTGGTTTCTGTTATTAAAATATTGAATATGGCCTATTCAATAGTAATTAGCATGGAAATTAATGCTGGTTTTATTTATAATTAATGTGGTTTTTATTTTTTTTTCTTCTTGTCTTACCGTTCAGCTGTGAGGTCTGGCTGGCTGCCTCCACCACCGCCTGCACTGCCCCCTCGACCTTCTGTGTCTCAGGTATGGACAAAGAACGAATAATACTTCGTGTGTTATTCACTTACTTATGTTACTGTTGCAGCGGTTAGCACAAGTTGAGTTGGGTATGGCAGTTATTCTTGCTTCCAAGTTAATGCACATCTGCAGTCTGCTGTGCAGTTCATACGTGTCCTTCATCGGTCTTTCTAGCCCTGTGTGTTACTGTATCAAATGACACACTAATTACATCTCTTTGTAGTGGAGCTGACATGCACTCACTACACAAAACTGTAAATTAAAGGGCACTAATGCTAGCTTACTGAGAGTTTTATGCCCGAAAGGCATGGGCTTGATACCTGCTATTTGCTTCTCAAGCTTCAGCTGCTCAGAGGACACCTGCTATGGGAGCTGCAGCATATAACAGTTTATTTCACTCATGGGTTTAAAAAGTAATGCTGAAAGGAAGTGTTTGCAGTGTCAGTGATGTTACCAAATTTCAAACCATTAGTGTTGTGCTTTCGGTTTGCTTTTGGATGAGTTTTTGTTTGTTTGCTTTTAGAGCATGACAAAACCACAGCACAATGAAAATTGACTAAATCATGTGTATCTGAATCCAGATTCTTCTTCAGGTTTCAGGAAACGATAGAGGATCAATGTCTTGCTCTTTTTATGTTCTTGGCTCTCTTAAGTCTTAGGCACAAGTATACTTCATGTGTTACTCTTTTAGGTGAAGTATAATAATAGAAAACAAGGCCATATGGGAGCTAACTGCCTATTACGTATAAAAACTTAGTGAGACGCCATCCATGGGCCAGAAACATTCGTCACTTGTGTCTTGGATCTGCTCTTAAGAGTCTGCTGTTGAACTCCTATGGCACAGTGCTTACAATAGAGATGATAAAAGGCTCGTTGTCATCCTGAGCTCCACCAGCAGCTGGTTGCTCTTTTCCTCTCCACAACTTTTTTTTAGCATCTGAGTGCAGCTAGTTTCTACCTCGAGGACTGTAGGGCATTATGTTTTGAGCTTGCATGCTTCCTCCAAATTGGTATGGCATTAGCCATACTGCTAATACCACATGCGCCTTGTTTTCACCTATCACATTTCTGCTTTCTCTAACACTCTATAGAGAACAGTATTTTCCTTTGGCTTCTCCTGATCCCACAACAGGCTCACTGCCTCCCTGCCTTGTGCCTGCAGCAGCTGTTGCTGCAGCCCACACTGGCCCTCCTGCCACTGCTTGGACTTGCCACAGCACACCAATTCCGTGCAGTGCAAGCCCTCTTGCTGCTATTGGGAAAAGCAGTGAATATAACAAATCCTGTTCTTGGGGGAGTAAAATCACTGTTTTCAAGCAAGGTTCTGCTACTTGTTTTCTTGTACTAAGATAGATTTGTGTTTCCTTAGTGTGGCAGTGTGGAGAGATGTTAGTTTATTTATGCATGTTCAGCAGCTTCCTTGCCAGAAAATACTGAACCAACTGCTCATCCTACATTGGGCCATGCGGATTATAGGCCCTTTTTAAGCTGGTAAACACAAGAAGATTCTTATGTGAAATTCTTGATCCAGTCCTGTCCAATACAATATCTGGTTTCTGAAAGAAAAGAAAAAAAAATAAAGAGTAGCTTCTGTGCCTACTCAGTAATGAATATGTAGCTGATGCTTTGCTTACATGCATCACTTACGTTTATTCAATTTATTTCTGATGCTGTTTAAAGATATCAAATATCTCATAAAAATATTCTTGTTCTGACATCTAGCAAAAATGTACATAAAACTGGTTCTTGAAAGCATAATAAACCATGCTGGTCACATTGCTTATTTTATCTCCAAGCGTGCCTTTCTGTGATAAAGGTAACAGGCAGTAAGGGAGTATGTGTGATGTGGTCATAATTCAGCTGAGCTGACCCTTACGAATAGGATGTAAGCAAAAGTAAGCATATGGATAACATTAGTCCAGTGGGGCCCTAGATTTAAAGAGCATGAAGAAGTTGGAGGGAGGAATCTGCTTTCAAAACTGAGGCAGGATCAAGAACTGAAGAAAAGTCATGATGCTGAAATTGCACCTTCAGATTTTCCTGTTTCAGAGTTTACCAAACTCTTCTTAAATTTCTGATTTAACTTGTTTTTCAGTAATGCCATTGAAAATCCTATTTTATTGCCATATCATTTTGCTATATGCTTGCAGTTAAGCACTGTGAATGACAAATGTAGCTTGTAAATGAAGCGAATCCCACATACATTTCAGGTGGCTGTGCACCATATAAGTGTGCTCATGGTGTGATTATTTTGGCTCAGCTTTGGAAATCAGTTGATAGAGGAGGAGGAGAGGGAAATAATTTCTTCTGGGGACTGCAGTTTTCTATGGATGGCTGGGAAGCAGCTTGAACCAGTTGGCTCTTTAGAGTGAGATTAAAGGCCTCATGGGATGTAAAGGCCAAAGTGTGTAATAGAGAGGTACCAAGGCCTAGGTATTACATTTCAGTGGAGCAGAAGTCCTTCTGTGAGCTTAATCAATAGCAACATAGAAATGGCATCTTGAATTTGGTCCTGGATTGCTGTTGGTTTTAGTGGAATTTGCTTCAACCTTTAGGAAAACATTATTTTTCCTGTCAGAACCTCCAAGGTAATCAAGCTTGGTAACACTGAAACACTGCTTATTCAGAGTGTGCCAAATGTCTCTAGTCACATCACAAACTGCTTAAATTACGTCTGTCCAACTCTGCCTCCGTAGAGTCAGCTGAATGAGGGCGGAGGACTGTATCATTGGGTGAGCATAATACAAGGTAAATCTTGGAACTAATACTGCTGTACCCTTGACTCCAGAGCTCAGTGGGTGCCCAGGCTTACTGTGGGGGGCTCAGATCTTGGGATCCTGTGAGTACATGGCAGGTTTATGGGGAACTTGCCCCCCTACTCTGCTCTTGTGAGACCTCAGCTGGAGTATTGTGTGCAGTTCTGATGTCCTCAACATCAAAAGGACGTGGAACTGTTGGAACAAGTCCAGAGGAGGGCCATGAGGATGATCAGGGGACTGGAGCACCTCCCATATGAAGATAGGCTGAGAAAGTTGGGACTGTTCAGCCTGGAGAAAAGAAGGCTGCGTGGAGACCTCATAGCAGCCTCCCAGTATCTGAAGGGGGCCTATAGGGATGCTGGGGATGGACTCTTCATTAGGGACTGTAGTGACAGGACAAGGGGAAACGGGCTAAAACTTAAGCATGGGAAGTTTAGATTACATATAGGAAGAAATTCTTTCCTGTTAGGGTGGGGAGGCACTGGAATGGGTTGCCCAGGGAGGTTGTGAATGTTCCATCCCTGGCAGTGTTCAAGGCCAGGTTGGACGAAGCCTTGGATGGCATGGTTTAGTGTGAGGTGTCCCTGCCCATGGCAGGGGGGTTGGAACTTGATGATCTTAAGGTCCTTTCCAACCTTAACAATTCTATGATTGTATGAAATAGCAGTGGGGCTGGCTTCTCTGTGCTGGGTTGCTGGGTGGTCAGCCTGTGCCATTCCACACCTCTGGTGGGTAGACACCTTTACAGATGTGGCTGCATCTTTTCTTACCTCTATGATGGGTTTTAAAGAGTTGGTGGATTAACTTTGCATTTTCTTTTCCTCTTCTTGGTGGCCTCTAAAAGGCTCTGGTAACTCCATCTCCTTGGGATTTTTCTTCATGGCTAAAGTCAGCATTCTATCAACTTTGTATCAGTCCACAAACTGTAGCCAGGTTTTCCTCAGAGCTTTCACCAGACATTTCTCTGATGCAGTAGTGCTTTCGTCTGAGGTCATTATGGTGATTGTAAATAAATTGAATACAGAAAGATGGACAAAATACAAGTTTCTATAATGTGGATACCCCATTATCTCCAATTTATGATCTTTTAACCCCAGTTCTAGCCCATATGATGTTTCCAGTAAGATACTGTGAAATGCAGTATGGAATGCTTTATTAGTATTGTCAGTTCATGTTGCTTTCTGTTAAGAAAAGTAAGTAATTCGAGATTTGCCTAAATCCTATAAAGGGCACTTGGAAAGATTATGTATGGAAACAGGTTTATACAAAGACTAGAGTTTTGGTTGGGATAATACATCATTTTGAAGCGTTTTATTACTGTGTATATGCCTGTGTAACTTCACTGACACCTTCTATAATCCCTAATAGCACATCTCCCGCTTAGCAAATCTGAAGTAGCTGCTTGGATTTAAAGATAATTTTCTCTCCATTAGTTTCCCTATTTCTTCGGACCACAAATATGTAACATGCTGCAAGGTCTGTACAGACTTTGGACAGTGAGCAATGGTTTAATTCTCACTTCCCATAACATGCTATAGTTACGTTTTTTCCACTCTTTCTTAATTCTGGGGGCTTTTAAAAAGTTTTTAGGGGGTTTTGTATCATCCCCTGAGCCTGAGTGATGGTATACAGAACAGATAACCTTTAGCTTGTTGGAATACCTACGGGTTTTTTTCTCTGGGCTTGTAGAGGACTAGATTCAGAGGCTCAGGTAATTTTTCCTGAGCCCATGTTCCTAACTTAATAGTAAACTGAAGTCATCAAGGAGAAATGTCATGAAGATGGCCCCCGAACTTTTGTGCAGATTCAGGGATGTACATGGAATATTTATGTAACTTGGAGGCAGTAAGACTCACAATAGGAAGGCAATAGCTATGTGGCTGATTCACACTGACACAGATTCCACATAGGAAATAAATTTGGGTGCTCATGAATAACGTTCCACTGAAATCAAATGTGTACACACGTCTCATTTAAGCCTCTGTTATTTTTTTTAATGGCAAACAAAGTAATACTTCATTACTGTTGGCTTTTAGGCCTACAGGAGTTGTTTACCACAGCTGCTTACTGTGGTAGATTTAGTAGCATATTTATGTTAATAGGAATTATGGATGAACACTGAATAGCAAATATAACTTTAGGATTTTATCCAACATCAGCTCACTGTCTGCAACATTGCCCAATTAGATCAACATTCCTTTATTTGAATCACTCTATTTCACTACCTTCCTGTGCAGTAATGAAGGC